ATAGTATACTGTCTATAATAAAGGGAAGGGCTTTACTTCACTGCTAACTGAAGCCAGTGTACTTCAAAATGCTGTACTTTCTTCACTTCTCTCTTCGTTCTTTCTGCACAACTTACATTATTCTGTTGAAATTAATTTTATTAATTGTGCTGATGACCTGACTGGGTCTATTTCAGTTAAATCTCATTTAGATTGCTCTGAATTAAATGGATCCTTGCCTGTAACTGACCAATGGTCTTTCTTAAATGGTCTCAAGTTAAACCATTGTAAATGTCAGACTGTTAATCTTAGCCTAAGGCGTAAAGAAAACCTGTGTGAGCTGTTCAACTTCTATTACTTCTGTTGCATCGATGGTATCTCTGCAGAAAGTAAATCGAGTTTTAACTGTCTTGGATTGAGTTCTACTTCTGATCGGTGTTGGTCGTCTCATAGCTTGTTAACTTTCGTCAAACGGATTACATGCAGCAATTGAGACTATCTGCTATAATTCAACCACTACTTTTACAATTTATTAATTCCTGCATCTTACCTATTCTTCTCTATTATTCCCAGTTGATCAATCCTAGTCTACTAAAACAGGACTATGTTATATTGCGGAGGGCTTTGAAAGCTGTCAGTATGGTGAGTGGTGTGCCTCTGGACCAACTGATTAACGCTGTGGTTGATAAACATTTAAATTCCAGCAAGAAACTAGCTACAGTCACTTTAACTGACACTGAGCAACCGCTTCATTCACAGCTCTCTTCTTGAATCTCCTCAGGGAGGACAAGAAACAATTACACAAACATATGTAATCACTATGTTAATAACCGAAAGGTGAACAGAAAAATACTGGAGTGAAAAAAGTCAATCAGGCTCAGGCTAGTAGTCTTTTTTAAAGCGGATCAGACTAATACATGACATCAGTCTACTATGTCTCTGACTACTGATTTGAGCCTTGTAAGAAAACATGAATTTCTTGCTCAGGGTTGGAATTACAGTCGAAAACAGTACTTAGAGAATCAAGATTGCAGGGCTCTAAAAGGATATTTTTGGTTCATAGGCATGCACACATTATCCCCATAACCTATTTACCTAATATTCCTTCTTTATATTCCACCTTGGTGTCTAGTATCTTGATTCGCTGATATTTGGTTAGACAGTAATGTCAGGTCCTAACCTTGATGATGATTGAATAGCCAATCCCTGCTTGAATATACAAAATACAGAGTTTGGTACAAAATGATTATCAACACTGAAGTGACCGAGTGAATAATAATAACAATAATTACACAATGAGACATTTGGACTGGATAAGAATGCCGACTGTTCTCCCTCAGATTTAATACTTTCACTGAACCGCGAAAATCACAAAACAAAGACCGAAGTGTCACTGTTAACCAGGACACTTTATTCAACGAAAATACATCATTTACATACAACAGTTTTCATAAACATATAAAACCTCTAGGTCAAAAATTAAATAACGATTTTGATTGGTCAACTATAGGATGAAATTGTCCAATAAAGTTTTTCGTAACCATACAGTAACATGAAACAAAAGTTGAAATAAAACGTTTCTACCTTATCAGTTGATAACTTAAAATGTTGATTACCATTTAGGGTACACTCCATCAAACTATCAATCATTTTACTGCACTAACAAAGAACACGTGAAATAACAAACTTTAATAGAATAGATTACTAACCAAATTAAGGTTGATTCACGTGATATTTGGTGTGAAAAGTCTATCTCTATCTATCAGATGCAACTATTCAGAGTAAATTAGATAGAGTGATAGGTGAAACATATGATGCGATAGCTGAGTTCAGTATGCACATCATTCATTGAATAGGTTGTTTATTCACAAATGTGCTCATATAACACACCTACAAAAAACAAATCTCTTAGCGCAATGAATCAAACAAGTAGCGTTGAAACGCATACTCACCTAGTTGTTAGCGATATTTTTTAGAATGACTTATAGTGCTTTAGTGATCTTTCAACCAAAAAAAAACTAAACGTTCTTCTACCGATAGAAACATATTGAGAAAAATATCTTCAAATGGATTAACCTTTGAAGTTGGGTATTTAGCACAAACTGATATTAGTTAACGATTAATGAGTTGAAATTAACAAATCCCCACTAAACCTGAAAATTGAATAATTCTCTACTGCTCATCAGTGATATACCTTAAGATGCGATTCTCGAAGTCCTGATGAAAAACCGTGATCTATAGGGCGAAGTAGGTCGAACCTGAGGAAAGCTACTCAACGATGGCATTGGACGAAGATCGTGCTACGTTGTGAATTGAGAGAAGGGAACTATGGTCCACTGAACCCAGTAGCTGAACGTTGAATGTGTTCATTGTGAAACCTAGAGGTTCTGGCTTCGATCTTTGGCGGGGTCATTGGTATGCACAGTTGAGGAGTCAGATACTTAGATGAAAAAAATGAGTCCTTCGAGGCTCTCAATGGTTCTCCAACTGATGTCAGTCCATGATGAATATTAACTTGAAGTCAACAAACTTCGAAATGGATGAATTTCTCATGAAATATCATACCGAACAAGAACTGATTTGGTGTAATGATACCTAGAGAATGTAAGTCAAATCTCCGTATTTATGAATATTTTTGTTCTATGAAATCCTAACTTTCAACTAGAAACCAAATTTTTCTAAAGAAATAATAAATTCCAGAGGCTTATAATAGGGGACTTGTTGTTCAACAGTCTGCAAAGTTGATATGCATCCAGGGAGGCTGAAGATTTAAACTACGCTCTACCTACCGCGATTTGAGCATCTAAGTAGTATCACCAGCTTTCATACACAAAACTGTGATTGACTGCAGGTTTACATTATTGGTAATATACTATTTGTTATATATGAAACTATAAAGCATAGCTATTAGTCACAAGACAATGATAGTACCAGTTTGAGAAAATCTCTGTAGTAGTAGAAGAAGAAAAAGAAGAGGAATTCGGAACCATGACCTAATAATCAATCAATAATCGATCTCTCTACCAATAAAACCTTTATGAAACGATCAACATGATTTCAGTGCATGTATTTTAAATCTGATAATGATACTCGACTTATTTCTAAAAACTTCAAAGTATTTTTCGTCAAACAATACACAACATGGAGGACTTTCAAGTGTATACACCCTGACTAATAGCGAATTATTCATTTCAGTGCTGACCAGTATTCAAAACTATTACAGGAAACAATACTTTTAAAAGTTGGTATTCATTATAGACAGATATCAGTTGGAGAAACTTGCGAAACCTGAGAGCACTGGATAGCTGTTTCGTCTTAGTATGAGATTCCTCAACAATGCACACCCACGATTCATGGGGCCAAGGAAACTGAAGGTCCTGGATCTGATACCTGGTGGAGTCAGTCCACTATAGATACCAACTAGAAATCAATAAATCCCCGACAAACCTCATCTGAAATTCTCTACACACGCACACACATACCTCATACTCATCCAGCCATAGTTCAGTACTCTGAATGAGAAACTATGAGGTTAATGGTCTACCTGAAGAAACAGTAGACAGAAGTGACGGAAGGGGTGATTTTTCAAAAATAAAGAGCCTTATCAATTCAGTATACTAAAATGCTGACTATCCCCCTAGATACTCATTGAACAGATAGGAATGCCTATGAATAAATCCTTTGTCCCTAGTACAATTGCACTTTCACCGGTAAATTGAGTAAATTACGTAATTTTGTTTGTGTGTGTACAAATGAAATACTGAAGTTGGAATAAATCCTACATTCTCTAACTAAATATTAACTGTATTTATCCAATCACTTGGTTGGAGGTAATAAGCAGGAAAACCATGGAAATAAGTTTCATGCTTGTTGGCACTCATCAGCAAGGTGTATCTTCAAACCCAAAGAAGCTAATGTTCCCCTTTTAGATCGAAACAGAGTGTTGCAGTTAGTGACGTTATCACTGAATTATTTAGGCTACAAATCATCTCCTATAGGACTGCGATTCCATACGCTGATTAATCACTGCAAAGTAATCGCATTCATGTTATCTGGTTTTGACTGCCAATCAAATGTTATCAATCATTGTGCAATGGGACCACTAGACTAGGAAGTCCAACCATTGTGATGTACTTTGACGGGTGCTGATGATTACAAAAAAAGGTGGTTATAATGAAGATAAACATCTTTTTGACGACTCATTTTCAAACGTGTACAGTGACAAATATAATTACTACTGAAAGGTTATGCGGTTACAGACCTTAAATTCGATAGAAGCTTAAAAATAAGTCTAACAGTCGCTTTGCTAGTGTATGAAGGATAAAACGAAGCATTACAACCCATCTATATGTGCTGTAGGTTGACTCGTTCCTATGAAGCCAAGTACACCGACCATGTCATGTGCTTACTTGCTCAATGTATGATCGTAAACGTTACCCTGAAAGCTGTAAACAGACTATTTCCAGCTTTGTGATAGGCGGGACAGACGAGGATGTCAAAGTCAGAATCGGAAAACTAACACAGGCGTTCATTAGCCTGAAACCAGTGTGCAGATCTTCTGCACTCAGCATGTGGAACAAGATACGGGTTTTCAACACCAACTTCAGTCAAGTCAGTGCTTCTATATGGTTCAGAGACTTGGCGCCTTACGAAAGGGATTTCCAACAAACTACAGATATTCATCAACAACTGCCCCCTACGCTGGCTCGCTACTGAAGATCAGATGGATTGCCAGAAAGAATAAGCAACAAGGAGCTCTGGGGACGAACTAACCAAGAACCCATTGCCCAACAAATGTGCAGTAGCAGGAAGTGGAGATGGATTGGGCATGCACTGAGAAGGCCAACTGGGGACATCACGTGTCAGGCCAGTCCCTCGAGTGGAATCCCGATGGGAAGCGACGAGTTGGACGTCCGAGATGAGGGTTATATGGAGGAGATCGTGCGAGGAGGAAATGAGAGCTTGTGGGCTGTCGTGGAACCAGGTTCAAAAGATCTCAGAGAACAGAAGTCACTGGAGACGTGCTACTGAAGCCCTATGTTCCATTAGGAACCCAAGGGACTAATAATAATGAAGCGCTTCAGGATATTTCAGCTCCTAACTAAATGTCATCGAAGATCCTCTATGTAATCCAACAGAATCGTCTGGAAAGAGAAATCCGTATCCAATCGAAGTATTAGCAGTCTGCAAATTCAAGTCTCAGCCACTTCCCTTATAATTTTCCAGAAAAAAAGAGGGAAACATTATTGAACAGTCTTCCCTCCCCCCATTTTTTTATTCACCAACTATCCGGAATTTCTCAAAATACTACATATGTTGTGTAATGCTTCATATATTGTGTTTCTGAACTTAACTTCACTGTTCTATTACCACTGGTCTATGTTACTGTCCACCCTATGAGGTATATACACTTATGAATGCGTATCTTTGAAAATGAGTCATCGAAAAGGTAATTATCCTTCTTTCAAATAACTTCTTTGAATTTTCTCACCATAAATTATAATCTACTCAGAACATTTATGTAATTAGGCAGCAATGATTCTTACACACCTATTGTATAAGGTATTAGTGTTACTATCAAGATATCAAAACCATGATAAGCATGAAAGATGTTTGAATCCATGATACACATTTGATTATGTCTATCTCATTAGATCAATGAACTATATCAATCTCATCAACTAATCATAAATAGTCATAATTTTAGAGAAATAACAATGAGAAAATCATAATAGAAATGCATTGAGGTTGTAAGACAAAATAAATAAATAAATAAATAAATGAGTAAAACTACATTAGGAATAACCGAGATTGATGTGTTCAATGCATTCATGATGAATATATATCATTCCACTTAAAGTCTATGTTAAACAAAGATAACTATCTATCAGTAGATGTCTCAGTCATTGACGATTATGAATGGACTTAAAACACAATAATAAAAATATGTCAACACATTTAATGAGATTATTTCATTGAAAAAAGCACGAAATGAGAATGATTGTTGTTCATTTGTATTATTACCAATAAAAACAATAGTAAACATTAATCGATTAGACTACTCAGCCATAATTGGATCATATTATTATTACTATTATTATTAAAATTGATATTGTACCTAAACACATACACTTATGGTAGAAGGAGAAAAAAAGGGGTGGGGGAGGAGGATGCAAGAAATTTTTTCCACAGACGATAACAACAAGAACAAATTCAGTTGATGTTATGCTAATGTTATGAAAGGATGTGAACTATACAAGTATCATTTCATTCAAGGGAAAAATAACTCATATCCACAAAATATCCTCTTGATAAAAACCATGAATATGCACACTTGCAAATGAAGAAAGAGATTAATAGACTGAATAAAAGGCATAGTTACTGTAATTTTTGTAACATGTATTATAATAAATGAATAAAACTCAGAGGAGATGAACTACTACTACTACTACTACTCTACCACTAGTACGCCATGGTTATTTTACTTCGAGAGAGAGAAATTATGAGTAGTCTCCACAAGTACGTGTGGCGAGGGATGTTCACAAACGTGCGTGCACGTTTAAACGAATTCTTGGATATCGGTAATAATAATAATAATAATAATTACGAGTAATTTTCTCAAAAAATTGAAACACAATAGTGAAAAATGAATACAAGAAAGAAAAAAAGAATAACTATAAACTAGCAACATCGCTAACAAACACATACACACACAGAGAGAAACACAAGAAGAACACTTACGCTTTCATACATTCTAAAAGGTGAATACTAACACAACACACAGATAAACACAAAACCATTAAGATCTTTACACACACAGAAAAAAAGGATGATAAAAACGAGGAGTATAGAATAGGGTGGACAAACGAGTATAATTTCAATTTCTAACAATTTCAGATGATTAAAACTTTTTTTTATCAGTAGTATATAATCGATTGTTTGATTGAAATATGCGTACCATCGAAAAATCGTTGTTGTTTTAGTATACGAGTGTCAATGCAATTATAGGCCACCACTACTACTACTAACAATATTGTTAGTAGTATCGAAATGTAAAAGAAAAAAACTTACCTGTAGAAACAAATGAACAAATAAAATGTACACAAATATTTTCCTCTAAAGAAAAATTAAAGATATTAATAAGTGGTACCTATAGGAGAGATTAAAAAGTTACCTTAAAATTATTTTATTGCTGAACTACTTCCGTCATCGCCTTAAAAATGACAATAAGTTGATGTATTAACACAGACAATAATCTGTGTAATTCTAAGCAACATTGTAACAATAAAATACACCACCGGATTACAATGAAGCCTATTATACGTCTCAGTTAGAAAAAAAAAGAGGAAGAAAAGAGAAAGTGTGAGACGCGTGGAGGTGGGCTGGAAGATGAGAAACACAGAATACACAAGTAGGATGACAATACTCAGATCCAGATCACTAAATAATCAATCATACAGTGCAAACATATGTCTATAGACGAAAGACTGTATATTTATACTATCAGTACAATGTATATCTTTAAAAACAAGAAAAAGAGGTTCGATTCCCTCCTTCAAAACAAAAAATGAACTGAATAATAAATGAAATCAATTATTTAATGTAATCGAAAGCGAAGCAATAACAATGTAGATAATTAATGCAGGAAAAATAATATCAAATTACGGAAATCGGTGTATATGTGAGGCAGAGATAGACTGATTGTAAGTTGTAGAACTACTACCATCACTATGGCCGCCACCAACGCCACTGACAACGACTGGAAGAAAGCATTTCGCAGATGATGATGATGATGATGCTGGTGCTATCGAAGGTGTAGTATTGTTACTTTTTATCGGAGAAATTGTATTACTAGTAGAAATATTACCATTATCAAATGGTATTGTTGATTTGATACCTGGATGAATAAATGGTCGAGTGAGATAATGTTTCTCATGTTCATTTTTAAATATTGGATGAGTACGATAATGTTCAATAAGATCATCAATACATGCGAACACCTTTTGACCAATATGATATTGACCATTCTCAACGTGTACTTTAAAATTCCTAGTTTTATTCCCTGCGTTAATAGTTACAGTTAAACCGCCAGGCTTTTGTTAGTGTTGTAATTGTTTTCGTAAAACACAGTGTTGTTTTATTGGAACATTAAAGTAGAAGAGAGAAAAATACACAAAATAATTAGGTTGATAAACATAACAAACGAAATTATATAACAACAAAAATTCTTTATGTAATTGATATGTATTTCACATATGACATGATTCGCGCACTGCACAACGTAGAACCACACACACATACACACGCACACACACACACACAACTACATCGGCCCAAGTTGCCACACTTCAAAGAAGTACACAAAGAACATAAAGATATAAAAAGACTGATATCAAAGTAAATAAAGTTAACTGAAAGAATAAACAAATATTCAAGTTTTAGAAGACGTCAACGAGTGACCAGTTTTCAACCATGTCCATCAAGAATTTTTGACTGCTGATGTTTATCATCTTGGGGATGACAGCCAGATAGTATACATCTCCCCTAACGGCTCATATCATCAGTCTGGGGTCTGATCTGATCACCCTGAATATTCTTCTAACTTAATCTAGGTTGGCCAAGTATGCCACGTCGAGGTAGACGGTGACTCGGTATGTGCAACATATGTCTAAACTACCTCAATCGATGAAGGTTCACAACATCATCAATCGTCTTACCTAGTACCTTTTGCTTGACCTCAGTGTAATCGGGTGATAGAGTCTTAAACATATATTTAATCATTAACTGCATGTAAGCCACTTACCCTTCATGGTAACTTATAAATATGCATGATAACAGAATGACCGGTTGGTAAAATCAACGTAGAACATTACATACAAGTGCATAGACCCAGTTGTCACACTTCACAGTAGTACACAAAGAACAGGTAGAAAGAGAAAGGAGTAATATCAAAGCAGACAAAGTTGTGTGAGAGAATAAGCAATTTGAAGATAAAGACTACTGCATATATTCAAGCTTTAGAAGATATCAAACAGCGAATACATCTACATCACTGATACCGATTTTCAGCCATGCCATTAACACACCTCGACAATTGATTCCTGTCATCTCCAGAACCTCAAACTAAGTACTATACACCTCCCTACATGATTCACAATAACAGTTAACGACTTCATGTAGGTCTTTGCTGTATACATCGAAATCCAAATGTACTTAACAACTACAAATGCTTTCGTCCATTCGAAGATGATACACAGTTATTATATGATCTCGATACAGATGGAGCAAGAACTGAGAAATGTAACCCACCAGTTACAAGTTAGGTATCTACATCAATCCAGTCACAGTGCTAACCTGCTGCACAACAGACTTTTCAACGGATCTATTCCATAAACTGTGTTCTATAATGCTGTATTAATAATAACCTCGATAACTTTGCAGTAAACTCACAAATGAATATGAAGAATTAGAGAGATATAAAAAAAAAAACAATACAGTACTATAAACAATCGATGAAATGGCACAACTTAAGATTGACTGGAATGTTGCATTAAGAAGTATAATTAGCCGTTTTTATTGTGGATCCAAACTGATCCACCTCTGTTGACAGAAGGGTTCCCTACAATGCGGATGTTTCAATATTGCCTGATTATTTATTATATGGTCATGTTCTTGATGATAGATGGCAGTGAAATCCAAGACGCGTGTTTTCACCTAGTTGGGACTCGTCAACTGGATGCACCTGTATCCCATTATCACTCAGACTCGAGCCTAGTCCCCATCCTTTTAAAGACCAAACCATTATTCACCAGGCCACATCCAGGTGACGAGTTTCGAATAGGACGAAAAACGCCTTATGAGCTCCACCGATAGTCACCACCAAGAACATCAAAATTCTACTCTAACTGTACACTTTCATTTTTTTTGTTTTCTTACGAAGCTAACAACAAACGAAAGAATTTCAAGAAATGGACAATTGTACAGAATTCCAAGTAATGACGAATACAGTTTGTAAGATTTCCAATATCTTCCACTTTGCTCAGCTTTTTTCCACTCCAGTGGACAGTTAATCTCTTGTGGAACCTTACCTCTTGAAGAAGACTTCTCATCTTCGAACAACCCGCACGTATGATTTTGAAGTGATGAAGAACATTTGTAGCTCAGGTGGAGAATCTTGGTTCTATTGTGTTCTCGCAGCCGGGTTGTTTAATTGTGAAGCTTTCATTATTTTTCTAGAGATCATTAGAACTAACTTCAATATGAAATGAGCTTTCAATGTCTTTGTATGAGTGATTCAGTAGCTTGCCCTGATGAACTAGTTTGTGATTAGTTGTCTCCTTTGATTGTTGTGTCATTGACTGTATAGATCTTCTTTTGTTGGTTGTTCCTCTGCTTGACCTCTGACCTTTCTGTTGTTTATCATTTTTCTTATTGATTGATAGATTGAGTCTATGTCTATACATTTATTGATTGCTGAGTGACCTGAATGCCAAGCTTCTAGGAATTTTCTGATATTCTTTGTGTTTCCTCTGTCCAAGATTTCTACATTATAAAAGTTGAATTCATGTGCATAGTTGTTATCCACGTGCATTGAAATGAGCGATAAAGTGTCGTGATGTTTAATAGCCAACTGTTATTCCTGTAAGCGAAAGTGAAGAGGTTGACCACTTCGTCCAATGTAAAATAGGTCACACTTGCTGCAGCTGATTGTGTAAATGATATTCAGTTTGTCTTCTTTGGCTGTTGCATCCTTTAGTCTACACAATATGATTTGAAGGGAATTTCTTGGTTTATGAGCCACACCAATTCCACGTAGTCTCAGTAATCTCATCATGATCTCTGATGTATTCTTTATTTGCGGTGGGACGTCCCATTTTTTGACTTTGTAGTCGATGATGAACGGGACAAACATCATCTGATAAAGTTTCGTAGGTAGGAGTTCTTCTTTAGGACAGACATCAAGTATTTTTTTTTGTTTGCCGTGAAGATGTTGTACTGCAGTGTGTTCTCGCTCTTTCAATAGAGTCTGCACGCAACTACTTTTGTGCGTTGTCGGGTTGTTGCTACTGTAGTTGAGGATTTAATCAGTAGGCGTTGGCTTCCTGTACACTTGGATTTCCAGTTTTCTGTCAGTGGTTTTACTGACCAAAACATCCACTGTCACCTGGTCGCTTGACTTCTTAGTTGTGAATTTCATGTCATTAAAAACACATTGTCGGCCAAACCGTCTTCTAAATCCTCTTTTTTTTGATGATAACAATAGTACCGTCCATATAGCGGATCCAAATTTTTGGTTTGATCAAAGGTAAGACGATGGTTTCCAGTCTCTGCATTACAACTTTTGTAATTAATCCAGATATCGGTGATCGTAAAGGAGTTCCTTTCACCTATTACTATTAAACTGAAAGTATGTTGTCGGACAAACATCAATGAGTTCCATCAGACTTGAACACTTAAGTTTTGTGTGTTCTAAAAGAGGAGGAGATAGTATTCTAGGTCAGTTGTGATTCGATTGATGTGTATATACATACCCTTTTAGAAAATTACACCTGTCATAATGGAATAAGCTGAATTATGTAACATGATAAAGTGAACGCAACAACACACTAATCACATACAAAGTAGAATAAAAAGGCTATAAGGAACACAACTTTCATTCACGTTCTGATAAAACGGTTATTCAAACCAAAGTAAGTAAAATTAGATTACATCCATGAGATGTGATTACCTAAACGCCGATGTCCCACAGCCCTGAATCACAAACACTCAGACAATTTCTTTATGAAGTAAGCAGTGATGAAATCAACTAGCATGGTGGAAAAAAAGTGTCCAAAACACACTTTCAAGATAGCTGAAACACTAAACAATTATGTATAACTTTAAACTTGACGTTTGTGAATAAAAGTGCCAGATATATGCCGCAGCCACAACAGTAAATCTCGACAAATCTTTAAGGTAAGTATTTTGCAAATTTATTAATTATTCATAAAGAGGAAATCATCATGGGGTCTCGTATTACTGCGTAATGGACCAAATTTGCCACATCTTATATCCAAATATCACTCACTCACTGACAAAATCAACGTAGAACCTCACACACAAGTGAGTCGGTTAAAGTACCACACCTTTTAGGAGTACAAGAGAACAGATGTACAGAAAAGGAGTGATATCAAAGTAGATAAAGTTTTGTGAGGGAAGAAACAATTTGAAGATAAAGGTTACTGCGAATATTCAAGCGGTAGAAGATGTCGAGAAGTGAGTACATCCACGCTACTGTCACCAATTATCAGCCATCTCACCAACAGTCCTCAACCACTGATTCCTATCGTCTCAGAGACCTCATCCAGACAGTCGACTTCCTCCTACATGGCTCAGACCGACAGCCAGAGACTTCATAGGCTAGTGTCACGTCTTTCTCTTGTCACGCTGAACCTTCTTCCAACTTAATTCAATTTTCCTTAATCTAACATGCCATATAGAGGTAGGTTTTGGCCCAGCTTGGGCAGTACATGTCCAAGCCATCTCAATCGACTACGGTTTACAACCTAATCAATTGACTTACCTATCTTCCCTAATACCCATCGACTGACCTCAACACTGCTCATGCGATGATCCCACCAGACGCTAGCAATGATACGAAGATATCTGTGATTAAAACCCGGTAATCATTTCATGTATTTTACTTCGAACGGCCTTGTCTCACAGCAGTACAATGGGACAGAACGGACTGCAGATCAGTCTATTCATCCTATGGCAGTCGGATATCTTGCTAGTCGATTCTACAGATGGTGCAAGTTTGCGAATGCCAGGACAGGCCTTCTGTATCCAAGCTAAGATTTCGTCAGCAGCAAGGTCGTTCGGGCTGATACATTTACCCGAGTAAGTAGAGTGGCCAACGCATTCCACCACTTCACTCCCTATCCTTAAACTGGGAGTACTTGAAGATCAGTCGTGCAAACATCATCTTACATTTGGCAGGCGAGAGTAAAAGGCACGTCAAATATACTCGGATTTCTGCTCAATATGTTAACAAGATCCTATCTGCATTTTGTCAGCGTCTTCATCTAGAAGGACAGTATCGTCAGCATACTTT